ACTGTCCAGGTGTTTTACCTGTTCGTCTTGTTTATTTTCAGGAAGGCAGGGGTCTTGACTGTCGGTGGCACCGAGGCCAGGCCGGGCATAGAGGCCGAAATACACATTTGTCCAACCCACAGGGAGAAGTGGCTGAGGGTCTATTTTGGCGTAAAGGAAGGGGCTGTCAGCAAACTCTGTGGCTTACTAGCTGTGTAGCATCGGCCCACTCTGACCATCAGTTTCTTCATCTACAACATGGGGTACCGCTCATCTCATGACGTGAGTTTTAAATGCCGTAATACGTGGCACAGTCCCTATACCGTACCCAGCACTGGCTCAAGTCCGGTGGCGAAGCAGTTAACGCCTCTGCCTGGGCCAAGGCCGCAGGAGCTGACCGCAGCCTTCCCTGCCCCCCTCCAACACCCCCGCCCCCCACCGGCCTGTCCCTCCATCCCTGGCTCAGCTCGGGGTGCACGGACAAGGTCTGGGTGGCCAAGGGAAGTCCCCTGAGCCCGCTGATCTTCCCTTCCGGCAGCCGCCGCGCGGGGCGCCGCGTCCCCACGGTCCGGTCGACTCCGGGGGCGCCCGAGCCTGCTGGGGGCGCGGGTGGCCTCCGGGGCAGGAACCGGGGGCGTCGAGCCCCGGGGGTCGGCCCGAGAGACCCCAGCCCCGCCCAGGGCGCTGACCCGCTGGCGCCCCGCACCCGCGCCCTGCTCAGAGCGCCACGGGGCCGGCGCGCCCGGGGGCGGCCCGGAGGAGGCGGCGGCGCAACCCTGGACGGGCCGCTCGCCCGCGATGAATGAGCCGCCCGCCGCCCCGCGCAGGGCTGCGCTTTGCCAAGCGCCCGACACTCCGGCCCGGGCGGATGGGCGGGGGCCGGGGGGGGTCCAGGCCGCCGGGCGTGCCGCCGAGGGCGCGGGGCGCGGGACCCGGCCGGCGACCCCCGGAGCGCGGCGCAGCCCGGAACACCCGCTCCCCCGTCCGGCCCGGTCCCCGCGGCACCGCCCGCCACGGGCGCCCTGCCCCGGAGCCCGGCGGCGCGTCCGCACTCACCTCCGCCTCCGAGGCCCGCCGCAGTGGAGCTCCGGGAAGGCGAGCGGCCGCCGGCGCCCGGTCCTCATCCCCGCCCGCGGGCCCGCCCGGGCCGCCCGCCCGCCCGCCGGCACCGAGCCGCCCCGCCGCGCTGCGCCTGGGGCGGGGTGGGAGGGTCGGGAGCGGCCTCCACCCTGCCCAGGTCGCGGAGCCGGCGGGCGGCGCGCCTCTCCCGGCCCGCGCGCCAGCTCCAGCCGCGGGTGCTCGGAGCAGCGCAGCCCGCGGTCTGCCCCGGGAGGCTCCCGGCTTAGGTTACACACTTCGCCGCCCCCTGCACCCCCACCCCCACCCCCAGCTATTTTTAGCGCCGCTTTTCCTAGGTGTTTGGCTCCTAGGAGCCACCCCGGCCATGGGGGGCCGACGGGAAGGTGTCTCTCCCCAGAGCCCCCTCGCGGCGCTCCCGGGCCAGCCCACCCCCAAACTGGCAGCCCGAGCCTCTCGGATGGAAACGCTGGACTTAGCACAACTTGTAAAACGGCTGCCATAACTCTGCCCATGCGGCTGCTGTTCTGTCTCCGTCCCCTCCTGGCTGTGTGTCCAGCGCTCGCTGGGGTACCGCACCTTAAACATTTTCCCTGGTGCTTCTCACTGGGGGTGGGGGGGGGTACGTCACAACTGTCACTTGGCACCTGCCTGGGGAACTTCGGTTGAGGTCCCCGGGTTGGCACCCCGAAGGCACGGAGGAGCCCTTGGGACACTTCTCAGAGTCCGGGGCTAACGTCCCCCCAGGCCCTGGTGCCGTCGCCGTGGGCCCCCTCCCCCGACCCTGGGCCTGCCTGAGCCTGGCAGCGAGTTCTGGAACCTCGGGGGTGGAGACCTGGGAGAGGCCCTTACAGATCATCTGTCCGACAGCTTCCTTTGCAGAGGAGGAAACCGAGGCCCCAGAAGGCAAGGGACCTGCCTGGGGCCAGCAGGCAGAAATGGCTTTGTTAAGACTTGAGCCAGGCGGACCCCCAGTGTGCGTGACTGTCTTGGGCTGTCCCAGAGAGGCTGGTCTCAGATGGGGACATGACCGCCTCCTCCGAGGTCAGGAGTGCAGCCTCAGGGCGGTGACCACGGACGGACCCCCTCCCCACTTCAGACGAGCCGAGTTGTGGACTTGGTGGGAAACTCTTCCCAGAAAGGAATCCTCTTAGGGACACCGTTATTACGTAAAGCAAGGCGTGGCAGAACGCTCGCGGCTGTCCCTGGACACCAGGGAGGGGGCCTGGCCCGAGGCCGCTCCGTGACATCCTGGGGCCCATTTCTGAGCCCTCCGTGTGTGATCTACGATGAGCCGAAGTAAACCGCGCACACAGCTGGCCTTTCTGCGCCTGTCGGTCGTCGCCTGTGAAGGACAGTCCGGAGTTTCCTGCCAGTTGACTTGAAAGCGTGAACTGAACCAGGGGCCCGGGCGGGGGAGGCCCCAGGGGCCGCAGCCGTGGCTCACGTTTCTGCGGCGTCATCTGGGACCCCAGGTCCTGGGGTCTCCCTCTCCGTGGAAAGCGGCACGGAATGCTCTGGAGGAAGTCGTGTTTCAGCCACGTGGGTTTCCTGGGGCCCCCAGCTCTGGACAAAGATCTCAGAAGGTGTTTCCTTTCCTGGACTTTCTCCTGGGTCTGTTCTTGTTTCTGTGAAGGGCCACAGTCTCGGAACCCGTGTGTGTGTGTGTGTGTGTGTGTGTGTGTGTGTGTGTGTGTGTGTTTCTCCAGCCCCGGGCACCTGAACACGGCTTGGGCGTGAGAAGTGACAGGAGGCTTCCCTGACAGCCCACAGCCACAACCCCAGTCCTAACAGTTGACTGACCCTGCGCCCACCCGGGCCAGCCACCCTGCAAAGGAGTCCGACAACCCTACGAGGTGGACTGTTAGGCTTCCCATTTCACAGGGAGGGTTAGCAGCATCCGAGGCCGCACGGCATGCCCAGGCCCACATCCCGATCCTCCAGAGCCGGTGCGTCTCAACACCGGGCAGCGTCTGGGGTCGTTCTGGGCTGTTATAACGGGGGGCTGCTCTTGGCATCTATGTAGCAGTTCGAGACTGGGACGCGGCTAAGCCTCCCGCAACGCACAACAGGACAGGCCTTGGGACAAAGCCTCATCCAGCCCCAGGTGTCTCCTGGTGTCAGTGCTCTCGTGGGGTGGCCTGTCACTCCCCTGGCCCAGCCTGGAAAGCCATTCGCAAGCTGGACAGTAGAGCCGCGTCCCCTCTCCTGGGAAGAGCTGCTCGATTTGGGGCACCTGCGAGGGGTGCTCCGGAGAGAGCTGGGCTGGGAAGGGCCCCGTGTTTATAGAGCTGGAAGGGGCCTGGGTGTACAGGAGGAACGGCCCGGCCAGGCTGTTGACTCGACTTACCCACAGTCCCGGCCACTGCGCCCGGTCTCCCCGCCGACCAAGCCCCCAGGCTGCCCTGGGCTCGAGGCCCACCACAGGCCGCCCTCGAGGCGGCGCTTTCCTGGGCCCCCGCGGGCGCGAGGGGAGCCAGTCCACGTTCCCGGGGCAGGCCCTTGACTTCTGCCTGCTGTAAAAATGAAACCGCGTCACCAACGCCAGAGCAGGGCGGGAGGAGTGAAAAATCTCCGGCAAATTCCAGGGGCCTATCGTCACGTGGCCGCTCAAGCCTGACACTGACAGCCTGGGCGTGTGGACGCCGTCCGTCCTGACAGCCACGCGCCCCGAAAGCAACATCGTGCCCCGCCCTGCGTGTGGCTCCAGGCCCAGCCCAGATGGGCCAGCACCAAGACCCTCGTTCCTGAGAGAGGAGCCCTCCGGCTGGGGCCGTGGCGGGACGTGGCGTGTGGGATGTTTAAAAGCCTCTCCGAGTTTCCAAAACAAGTTTCGCTTGTGTTCCTGTGGGCTCCTTCACCCCAGTTGCTAAAAAGGGGAAACTGAGGCTGGAGGATGCCAAGTGCCCATCCCAAGGACATGGGAGTTGGTGGGAGAGCCCGTGCCGGGCACTGATGGCAGCACGGTGACAGCAGTCACGGGGCCTCCCCGGGAGCGTGTGCCCCGGCGCTGCAGAGCTCCCCTGTGCCGTCCTGGGAGGGGGCTCCAGGGAACACCCTGCGTGCACGGTTGGCGCCTGCGGCTTTCGTCGCTTAGCCTGTGAATTCAGGCCTGGGGCTGCCGAGAGCGGCACAGGCTGGCCCGGCCTCTGTTCCCTCCTCTGCTCCCGCCAGCTGTGTGTCCTCGGGAGGGTCAGCAACCTCTCTGTGTCTCTGCTTGCTCGTCTGGGAGGCGGCATCACCATGCCCGCCGGTCAGGAGGGCAGAGCCGGCACCCAGAGGCCTTGGTGCTGCTGCCCCGGCCCTGCCCGGCGGGGAGCGGGGTTCTCGGGGGGCCGGAGCAGCAGACCTCACGGTGGCGTCCGAGGCAGGGGGAGCGAGCGGCCCGTGCACTTGGGCCCTTGAAGCTGCAGGTGCCCGTCCCGGGGCAGGCCTGACCCCAAGGTGCCCCTGTGACCGGGGCTGAGGCCAAACCCATTTCTTTCCTGGCATCAGAAAAAACAAAAAACAAAAACAAAAAGCCCACAGGCTACAGAGTACAAAGGGCAAGGGCAGGTGGAGATGAACACATCCTTGTGCCAAAGCATGGCACCGGCGTCACTGCCACCTGCCGCTGAGCCCTAGCGGTGACAGGGAGCCCACCCTGAAGAGCCGCGTGGGTGCTGCCTGGTGGGTGGGCTCGCCCGGTGAGTGTCGGGGGTCGGGGCGGGGAGGACGGCGGAGGGACGCGGGGAGGCCTGGGAGGGAGTGGCGTCCAAGGAGACATTCCAGATGGACGCGGGCGCATGACTCAGACGCCCGAAGCCCGTGGTCCTGCTCGTCTTCCACGTGGCCCCATTCGAGAGCAAGAAGAGGGGGCAGAAAGGGTCCCCTGCTCAGGGCGCCCCACACGCCCCCAACACCCGGCTCACACGCACGTGCTGCACCCACAGGGTGGCGGAGGGTCAGGGCACACAGGGCCGGGAGCCACCGTCCCCCCTCCTCTGTGAGGCTCTGACCACCAGCTCCTCCTCCTCCTCCTGGAAGCCCTCCCTGCTCTGCACAGTCATGGCTTCCGCCTTCTGAGCTCCTCCCAGCAGGGCCTCTTTAGGCGCCTGGTCTGTGCCCTTGGCCCCCTGGCGCCATTCCCCACGGCCTGCCCGGGGTGGAAGACACAGGAGCGGTAGTTAAGAGCATGGTCCCGGGTTTGAGTCCCAACTCTGCCTCCAACTCTGTCGAGTCCCTTCCCAGGAGATGCTGCAGCCCCACGGCCGAGAGCCAGGCCTGCGCCGGGCACGACTGCTGGCTCCCCGGGCCCCCGCGGCTCACCGGCGGGTGAGGAGGCCTGGAGTCCGCCCGGCCCGGCGCACACCTCGCCCCGCCCACGCCTGCTGGCCGACTGGAGCCCCTCTGGTGTCTCCCAGGTCCGAACCCCGCTCTGCTGTCTGTCAGCCACGTCGCATGGACGCCTCCCTGAACCTCAGTTTCCCCATCGCCGCTGTAACCCAGGGAACGAGGGGCCGTGGGCAGCTCTCCCCAGACGCTCTCGTCCGAGCGTCCCTGACTCAGCCCTGCAGACCGTGAACATGGGAGCCCTTCTAACGAAAAGAAAACAGAGGCGGCAGGGAACGGCCGGCCGTGGTAACCCAAGCCAGCGGCCCGGCGCATGAATGGGCCCTTTCATGGGGCGGCCGCAGAGCGAGGGCCTGGGGTGGAGGCGTCCCAGGCTGGGCCCGAGGAATGGCAGTGCCCGGGGCAGGCCCAGGCAGGGGGAGAGGCACGGCGGCCTTCAGCCCGGCTCCGGCCTCCCCTCCCTCTTCCTCCCGGACACCCCATCACCCCAGCCCGGCTGAGTGAAGCAGTCAGACGTCCGCTGTCCAAATCGCCACTGTCCTCGTTTTTTTCCTGTAATTATGTCTCCAAGGGATAACTACAAATTTACATTTTGCTCAGCTCAGTCATTTATGCGCAGCCCGCGAGGAAGGCCGGCAGTAAAAGGCGCATTGATGCGTTCTGGTGTTGCTCGGGGTGATGGGGAAGGCGCACGGGGACAACTGGCCCTTTTAGCCACCGCGCCGTGCACCGCGGTGCCCTCCCCACCACCTGGGCCGCGCGAAGGCCCCTGACCGCGCATGAATGGCCTCACTGTGCGCGGTTTTCCTCTCCATACCTGGCCACCGAATCTTCCAACATTCTTCTAGAAAAAATGTGGCCCGTTTCCCTTGGATCTTTTCCTCTCCAAATTGCTTATCCATTCTGGTCCAGCCCGACGCGAGCCAGCTCTTCCTCCGTTTAGCGACATTAAAGAAAAATGGGTCTTCTGAGTTTGCCACCTGCCGCTAGAGCCCGGACAATAGTTCCCTTCTGATTTCACGGGGGCAAATTTCCGCCATCAGGCGATTTCCTTCTGCGATCTTTGAAGAGACACAGATAGGCTGATAGCGCGCCCCGGCGTTCCCACTGTGGTCCGGATGTTCCCGGGATGTGAGCCAGCGGGCGGCATGCCCTCGTGCCCGCGACGGTGCCTGGCACACAGGAGGCTCCCGTTGGGTCGACAGGTCAATGAACAAAAAGGTTTAAAAACGGCTGGAAGGAAACTCGTGGATGGCAAGCCGAGACACACGAGGGTGACGCCTGACTGTGTGTATCGTGGCCACGCCGTGGCACCACTTACAACGGCGGCGGGAACAGCCGGCGGGTCCCCTGTGCCCCGGTGACGCTGCATGCGGGGACTTTACTATCTTAATTTATGTGGTTCTAGTAAGTCACCCAACTCACCGCTAAGCTGTCCAGATTCTTGTTGAGAGCCAGTGTAGCAGCGTCCCGGGTTCAAATCCCTGCTCTGCCTCTTGCTAGCAGGCCTCGGCCTCTCTGCGCCTCAGTTTCCCCACCCTGTCCTCAGAGGGATAAATGACGACCTGCATCGGGCGCTCAGGGCAGCCCAGGCTGGGTCCTCACGGGTGTTGACTATCAGTGTCTTTCTGGGGGACTCATTTCTCCTCCACACCTCCCCAGGTTTCCACGTTGGTCACGGACGATATTTTACAATCAGGAAACACCGATATTGGGGATCACCCACCCCCGCCTCCAGTCCTGCCCCTTCTGCCCGCGCCAGGTTTCCGTGAATGCAGCCGGCTCCCGTGGTTTTCGGGAGCCCTCGGTGGTCTGGGCGTTTCACGCACGGACTCCACCACGCTCAACACTGCTGGGCATTTATCTATTATTTGCTTTAAGTAAAACGTTTACACGTGGCGTAAGCTGAAAGCCGGGCAGGGACCCCCATCACCGTGAGAGTCGCCCGCACAACCGACGGGCTCAGCAGCACCCGGTGCCGGCACGAACAGCTCTTTGTTAACAAGACTCTAGTTGTGCGGCAATACCAAACGTGGGTTAGTGTCAATGAAAAAACAACGTCCTACCCTTCGCAAAGACGTCCCTGAGCACCAACAGGCGGTCTTTCTAAAACATGAACTTTCTCGTGTCATGCCCCTGCTTACAAGCCTCGCATGGCTCCCTAGTACCCGTAGGATGAATGTACACTCGGCTGGAGACTCTCAGCCTGTCCCCATCAGGCCCCAAGCTACATTTCCAGGCTCAGGGCCCCTCCTCCCCACCTTTCCCACTCCAACTCAGGCCACCTGGCAGCTGCATGCTACCTAAACAGCCCTCAGTCTCCCACGCCTCACTAGCTCTGTATCTGATGTTCCTCCTTCTTGGAAAGTTCCCGCCCCTCCTGCCCGCTTTGCCAGCCTAGCCAACTCCTATCCATCCTTCAAGACCCGCTGGGCTGTCACCTTGTCTATGATGCCTACTTGCAGATGCTCAGATTGTGGCACACACTGTGTCCTGCACCTGGCTGTGCATCAGCCTCTGCTGGACTTCAGGATGCCAGGTTCTACCCATTTCTGTACACCCCGCGGCTCAGAGAGTGCCTAACCCCAACCAGCGCCCCATGGGTCCATGGTGGGCTGAATCCGCTCTTTCATTCCTCACCACGCTCTCTGCTCTTCCCCAGGCTGGGATGCTCTAACCCTGTGACGGCGTGATCTGGGCACTGACGTGCAGCGTCTGAGAATGCCAGCACCAGAAGCCTCCTGGGGATGGTCTGGCCCAGGCTTTCCATTTTACAGGTGAGGAAACCAAGGCCCAGAGAGGGATAGATGCCATGTGGGGCCCAGACAAGGTGGGCCCAGCTCTCTCGAGGGGCTTCGTGTTCTGCATGGCATCCGTGTCCACCCCTGCAGGGCAGCGCAGCCATCTCGTCCTGCTGACAGGGTCAATGCCCCATCCTGCTACCCTGGCTCTACAGGTGCCCCGGACCTACCTCGCCCCTCACCAACCCTCCTTACGCACCCCATCGCCACAATGAGACCCTGCAGACCATGCCCCAGGGAGCTGCTGCATCTCTGGCAAAGTGCGACTGTGGCCACTGGAGGAGGGCGGCCCTGCCACCCAGCTGGGTGACTCTGGGTAAGTTGTACTTCCTCGTGGTGCCCCAGTTTTCTCTTTTGAAAATTGGAGGTGACATATAGAAACCACCTCAAGTGGTTGTCATTGATGCAATGAAACAACGTGCTTGAAAGAGAGAACCTGACGCAGAGCCAGTGTACTGCCGTCATCGTGATTCGAGGATGATGGTAATGATAGTGATGGCGATGGTGGTGATGGTGGTGGTGATGGTGGTGGTGATGATGGTGGTGGTGGTGGTGATGGTGGTGGTGATGGTGGTGGTGATGATGGTGATGGTGGTGGTGATGGTGGTGGTGATGGTGGTGGTGATGGTGGTGGTGATGGTGATGGTGGTGATGATGGTGGTGGTGATGATGGTGGGGATGGTGGTGGTGGTGGTGATGGTGATGGTGGTGATGGTGGTGGTGATGGTGGTGGTGATGGTGGTGGTGATGGTGGTGATGATGGTGGTGATGGTGGTGGTGATGGTGGTGTGATGGTGGTGATGGTGATGGTGATGGTGGTGATGGTGATGGTGGTGGTGATGGTGATGGTGGTGATGGTGGTGATGGTGATGATGGTGGTGATGGTGATGATGGTGGTGATGGTGGTGGTGATGGTGATGGTGATGGTGATGGTGGTGGTGATGATGGTGATGGTGATGGTGGTGGTGATGGTGGTGGTGATGGTGGTGGTGATGATGGTGATGGTGGTGATGATGATGGTGATGATGATGGTGGTGATGATGGTGATGATGGTGATGATGGTGATGGTGATGGTGATCACATCCCAGAGCAGTACACCAAACACCCCATATCAAGCGCAGCAGATGTGCTGATGTCATCAAGAACAGAGCTGGGGTGTGGGCTCTGGGCAGCTGGCTCGGCCCACTCAGTAGTTACAGAACCGAGGAAGAGCTGGAACCAGAAGTGTCGAAGCCCCAAACCAAGCCTGCCCTGAGCATGAGCACGAACACCTTTCCCGCGTAGCCAGACTTTCTAGCTCGGATCTAGAAGAGTCAGGTTGAAGCTTTGCCTCTACAAAGCGTGACTGGTGCCTTTGAGCAAATCCCTCACCTCTCACAACTTTGCTTTTCTCATCTGCCCCGCGAGGGTTGTCAGACCTGCCTGGCTTCTGTCATGGGGTTATTATGGGGATCAACCAACCCCACAATTAGTGGCTCAACTGGTAGCATTGACTATTTGTCACGATTGAGCAGCACCTGGCTGATGGCTGGATTCTGCTGGCTGCCTGGCCGGGGCCGCGCTTCTCACGACTGACTTGCCGTCAGCGGGGGCGGGACGCCTGGGCCACGGCCGCTGTCCTCCAGGGTGAGCCTGGCTGGTCCCCACGGTGGGGGCTGTGTGGTCCCGTGCATAGCGAGAGCCCAACCCCCACGAGCAGTGCTCTTCGAGCTTTTTCTCCCTGCCTCACGTTTGCTATCGTTCCCCTGCGAAAGCCAAGTTCAAGGGGTGGAGAGAAAGACCCCACTCTTGAAGGGAGGAGCCAGGAGCCACCTTGCGCAGGGACCTGGGTACAGGGCTGAGAGGAACTCGGGGTGCTTTTCCAGTGTCCCCGATGCTGCGCAGTACGCAGCTGCCCCTGGAGTGGGGTCTGGGTCAAAGGTGAGGTTGCTGCACCTCACCGAGGCCCTGGGCAGGTTGCTCTGCCGTCGCGAAGCCTCAGTTTGCCGTCACGTGGGGAGCAGGAGGGTTGTGGTAGGGTTGGGTGAGAGAGAACATTGCCCGGTGCCCGGCATGCAGCCGGATGCTTGTAACTGTTATAATTATTAATTGTTATTATTTTATGCAGAGCAAAGAATGTGCTTTTCTTAAAAAGGTAGAAAGCCATTGTGGTGTCTTCAAATGGACACAGCAGCATTTTGGCTGACTCCAGAGCAGATGCTTCTAGAACAGTCTGAACTCCCAGGCCACATGCTGTTCTCCCTGCATGTGCTGGTGTAGGGGCCGAGAGTGCCAGTGTGGTGTCCTCAAGGGAAGTGTCCCTCCTCCCAGCCTGTCTCCCGGGGCTGGCAGAAGAGCCTGCAGCTGGGCCCTGAGGGAGGGGTGTGTTGGCCGGGGATGCTGGGGGCATCTGGGGGCCCCACGAGCACAGAGACCCTCTTGCAGGGGTCTCCCGTGGCCGGACATAGCAGGCATTGTCCTGAGCTGGCTCCAACCCCAGGCAGGGACTTTTTTTTCCTTAAGCCAGGGACTGAGTATTTCACCGTGTGCAGACACACGTGGCCAGAGTGGCTACGGGAGCCGTTCATGGCAGCCGAGGAGGCCCAGAAAGGACTCACGGGCACCCTGCTCCCGGCTGGCCGAGCCACGCCCGGGGGCCATCAGGAGAGGGTGCAGCCCGTGCCGTGGGCTGTAGGGAGTTGGATTTGGAGAGGAAAAGCTCCCCCGGGGCCTGTGGTCGGGGGCGGGGGGGGCTGGAGCTGCGCTGCCTCAAATCTCAGCCCCGAGGCTGCTTGCTTAGCCGTGCGACCCCTGACCTCCAGGAAGGACAGGACGTGCAGACAGGACGTTGGGACAGTGGTCACAGCACGTCCCAGGAGGCCAGCTGTCCCCAGTCTGGGCACCAGTGGCAAGATCCTTTCCTTCCTCAGACCTCAGTTTGCTCCTCGAGTGACCACCTTCCACACGGGGCAGTCTGGGGACACGCGGCCAAGCAGAAAGCTGCTCTGCAGGCGCTGGCGGGCACAGGCGCTGGGGCACAGCCGACATCGGGCAGAGCTGTCCCTGTCCTCGGGCTGACCTCGCTTCTGTCCCAGAGAAACGTGGAGACTGAGGCTTGGTCCCCGAGGTCCTGAGCCCGTGGGCTCCTCCGAGCTGGGTGCTCAGGGCTCCTCTCCGAGTCCTCTGCGGACCTGGCAGAGCTGGCACGGGCGGCCCCAGGACCTCGGTCATCTCTGCGGTCACTTCTCTTTCCATCGCCAAGGGACAAGCACACTGTGGTGGGCAGCGTCGTGTCCTCCCGAAAGACACGTTTACAGTCCACCCCCGGTACCCGTGCACAGGACCCGGCTCGGGTCTGGCAGACGAGATGGGAGGGGGCCGTGCTAGATTAGGGTGGCCTCGCCCCGTGACTAGTATCCTTGGAGGAAGAGAGAAACCCAGACGGGAGACGCAGGGAGGAAGCCACGTGGAGACGGATACAGAGACTGGAGCGGTGCAGCCACAAGCCGTGGAGCTCCCGGGGGGGCAGGAGCCGGAGGGGGCGGGCAGGGTTCTGTCCTGGAGCCTTCGGAGGCAGCGCGGCCCCGCCCCACCGTGACCTCAGGCTTCTGGTCTCCAGGCCGAGAGGATGCGGCTCTGCCTCTCTCATCCAGTCTGCGATGGTCGGTCTCAGCAGCCCAGGAAGCTCATTCGCCTGAGGACGAAGGAAGGGGCCGCGGCACAAACAGCCAACACGAGCAAAATCGCGAGCGGCAGATCCCACGGAGCGTCCCCTCTCGCGAAGAAGTGAGATGTGAACGTGACGTGACGAGATATTTTTCTTTAGCAAATTGTCGAAGATTTAAGACACGTGGAGCCTCACTGCTGGCCGGGCTACGGGACGCGAGGACGCACAGGCTGCCACATTCCGGAACATGCTGTGTCCCGGCAGCTCTATCTCCCGAATCTGTCCAGGGAGGACGAGCGACTCGCAGGGGGCAGCGCCCATCACGGCGCCCTCACGATACCAGGCTGGAAACCACCTGCTCACGTGCCGCCGCAGGAAACGGCTTAAACCAATAACTCTAACCAGAAAACACCGGCAAAGCCACGCTTTTATTGACATGGAAAATTGTTCCTGGCGAGTAAGCGTTAAGAGCTGGTTCCAGGAGACGTCGGTACTAATTTTATTAAAAGGCAAAGAAGTTCACCCCCAGGAACGGCGGGCACGGCAGTCGGAGGTCGCGGCGGCGTCTCCGGACCGGAGCATCAGGGGTGATTTTGAATTTCCCTGTTTGGGTTTTGCTGTGGTGTCCGGACTTTGTGTAAAGAACAGGTATCATTTTCGAAACAGGAAAACAATGCAATTAAAAGCAGGAGGCTGAGCCCGCGTGGTCAGAGCCACGGCGGGGAGGTGGGTCCCTGGGAGGACGGAGCAGACGCTGTGGTTTCCGAGGGCACGGCCGGAGCCGTTGTTGTGACGGCGCCGCTGGCCTCGGGCTCCGGGGCGGAGGCTCGGGTGGTGGCTTCTCTGCCTGAGACCTGCGCTCACCTCCCTGCGGACCCGCAAGAGCCTGAAACAGGGCGGTGGGGACGGTGTTGCCCTGGATGGCCGAGGGGATGTCGCACGCTCAGGGATGGCTACGTGCACCTGACTTGTGACATCGGCCTCCCGCTTCAAGTTGAGGGAGCTGGGCTCAGAGAGGTGAAGGGACTTGTCTAAGGCCACACAGCCATGGGCTGTGGGCCAACATTACACCTTGTCATGTCCAACTTCGATTCCCATGTTGTCCCCACATGGCTTGGGTGCCCCTGCCATGGAGACGTGGGGACAGGAGGCCACACAGACCCTGCCCCACTGGGCTGCCTCCATCCTACAAGCCTAGGAGGGCTGAGGTGCCCCAGGAAGAGGCAGGGCAGCTTTGGTCCCATGTCATTTGCATGCAGTGTCCCAAGGACAGTGATGCCATGGGGGCAGGGAGAAGGCCTGTGCCAGGCGTCCTGCTAGAGGGGCAGAGGGCTGCCTGCAGGGTCTGCAGTGCCCCTCACCCCAGAGCAGGACCATCCCCACCCTCCCCAGAGGAGGAGACGGTGGCAGCGTCGGGTCCTGCTGCTCGGACCTTTGAGGATGAGTGTGAGGACTCTGCCGGGACACTCTCTCCTCTGGCTGTTCCCCGCCACTGAGGGGGCTCCATTCGCAGAGCAAGGACAGCCCAGATGGCATCAGAAATCCTGCACAGAGGAAGGACAGAGCCTGTCCCCACTCCAGGGGGCCCACCGGCCCCGGAGCACCCTCTGCACACTCTCCCGCCCTTGGGGCCTCTCGCCCGTCCTCATCACCCTCCCCCGGCCCGCGAGGCTGAGAGGCTCGGTCGTCTGTCCGGAGCGGCACAGCCCCTGTCTGGGCAGAGGCGAGGCCCAAAGTCAGATGAGGGGAGCAGGCTTGTTTGTGTTTGATATAAACGCTAGATTGTTCTCTGCCCTCGTCAGCTGTTATGCAGAGGCAAGTCCTAAAATAATATTGAATTTCCTCGCTCATGATTTGGAGGGAGGACACTCATCTGGAGTTAGGCTGGGACGGGGAATGCTTTCATCTGCGGGCACCGGGGACGTACGTGCCGACTCCCACGTGGCCGACAGAATGCAGGTCTCTGTGTCCGCCCCGGAGCCGGTGCTGACGCCGGCCCAGGCTCGCCACGTTCGCAGCATGGAGGGCTGCTTTGCGAGGGGAATGTTTTTGTTTTTTAATAAATATGTCTCTTGGAAAGTTGGTCTCCTCATTGATTGTTCAGAATTCCAGATGGGGCTCGGACCCTGGGGACCGGAGCCAGAGACTGGCTGATGCCGGACCGTGGGTCGGGCCCAGGCGGGCGCCCCTGGGAGGCGGTGGTGCCGGCACGTAGTGGGTGGTCACTGCGCACTTTGGGTGGACTCCAGCACAAAGCACACTCACACAACGACCTTCTTCTTCGGTCATGGGTCGCTTTGCTTTGCTTTCCAGATGCCTGCTTTAGTTTGTCACAGCGCTGGGACGCCCCTTCCTTCCGAAGTCGTCAAAGCCTCCTCTGTGCGGGCTGCTGCGGCAACTGCCCTGGTGCACTGGGGAGGGGACAGGGGCCCGTTCTTCATGGGTGTCCCGGTGGGGAGCAAGCAAGGCCCCAGGGCCAGCCAGACCACATTCAAGTCCCAGCTCCATCACCTACTAGTGCTGGGACTTTGGGCTTAACCTCTCACGTGCCTTGATTTCCTCATCTGTAAAATGGGCTTGGAACACTCACCTTGAAGGACTGCTGTGAGGACTGAGATGAAATAGCACGGGACCCAGCATCTAACTCAATACGTAACGCCACTGCCATTCAAATGAAGACCATGGTGTGCAGTTGGAGCTTACTATGCTGATTTCATTTACTCAAAAACCATCTGCTGAGTACCCCGAGAAGTCAGCCTCCTCGACAGGCACCAAGGGCACACAGAGAGGGAGAAGACATAGATCTTGTCCTCCAATGAAATGAGGTGATGACGGTGATGATGATGGTGGTGGCGGTGAAGACGCTGTGATGACGGCAGCATCAATGATGGTGACGACAGAGATCATGCTAATGCTGTTGTCACTCATGGCGATGATGGTGATGGTGGTGATGGTGGTGATGATGATGGTGATGATGATTATGGTGATGGTGATGGTGGCGATGGTGATGATGATGGTGATGGTGGTGATGATGATGGTGATGGTGATGATGGTGGTGATGGTGATGGTGATGGTGGTGATGATGATGGTGATGGTGGCGATGGTGATGATGATGGTGATGGTGGTGATGATGATGGTGATGGTGGTGATGATGATGATGGTGATGATAGTGGTGATGATGATGGTGATGATGGTGATGGTGATGATGGTGATGATGATGGTGGTGATGATGATGGTGGTGATGATGGGATGGTGATGATGATGGTGATGGTGGTGATGGTGATGGTGATGGTGATGGTGATGGTGATGGTGGTGATGATGGTGGTGATGATGATGATGGTGATGAGGATGGTGATGGTGATGATGGTGATGATGATGGTGATGATGATAGTGATGGTGGTGATGATGGTGGTGATGATGGTGATGATGATGGTGATGATGGTGGTGATGATGGTGATGATGATGGTGATGGTGGTGATGATGATGGTGGTGATGATGATGGTGATGGTGATGGTGATGGTGATGGTGATGGTGATGATGATGATGGTGGTGGTGATGATGGTGGTGATGATGATGGTGATGATGATGGTGATGATGATGGTGATGTTGGTGATGGTGATGATGGTGATGGTGATGGTGGTGATGATGATGGTGATGATGGTGGTGATGGTGATGGTGATGATGGTGATGGTGATGATGGTGGTGATGGTGATGATGATGGTGATAGTGGTGATGATGATGGTGATGATGGTGGTGGTGATGATGGTGGTGATGATGGTGGCGATGATGATGGTGATGGTGATGGTGGCGATGGTGATGATGATGGTGATGGTGGCGATGGTGATGATGATGGTGATGGTGATGATGGTGGTGATGGTGATGGTGATGATGGTGGTGATGATGATGGTGGCGGTGATGATGGTGGTGATGGTGATGGTGATGATGGTGGTGATGGTGATGGTGATGGTGGTGATGGTGATGATGATGATGATGGTGATGACGATGGTGATGATGGTGATGGTGATGGTGGTGATGATGATGGTGGTGATGATGATGATGGTGATGGTGGTGGTGATTGATGGTGATGGTGGTGATGATGATGGTGGTGATGATGATGATGGTGATGGTGGTGGTGATGATGGTGATGGTGATGGTGGTGATGATGATGGTGGTGATGATGATGGTGATGATGATGGTGATGATGATGGTGATATTGCTGAGCTCACATTTATCAGCACTTACTTTATACCAGGGCTCGTACTAAGCTTATTACCTACATTATCTTATTTAAGTATAATGCATGGTAGACTTTGAGACATTCTACAGAGGGAGTCATAGCCATGTCCATGTGACAATTTGGGAGGAAGTCAGAGGAAGCGTTAGTGAGGAAGGGGCACCTGATTTGGGTGGGACTTGAACTTGCAGGGATAGGGCTAAAGGGCATCTCGGGGTGAGGAGGCCCCATGGGCGTAGGCGCGCACCAACGCCGTGTGTCCACACAGGAGGGCCCCCACTGAGCGTGGCCGGGGTGAGCAAAGGGCTGGGGCAATACGTCTGCAGAGGTGGGAGGGGCGGAGAGGTAGGTCCTTGGCGGGGAGGTGGCAGGGTGACACCCAGCCAGGGAGTCTACACAGGAGGCTGGGGTTGCCTGTGGCGGCTGGTGGCACAGTGCACGTGTGATGTCCAGACTCCCGTGTCTTCCCTGAGGATGGCACTAAGGCATGTGAACCTGGGTGGACCAGACAGGGAAGGAACACTCACAGAGAACCAGGGAAGCCGAAGTCTGAAACGACCTCTGTCTAGCTCGGGTGGGTCACCCCTGCAGGGGTGGGGCCAGAGAGGGCCTGTTCCGGGGAGGGGGTGCCGATGGCTTCATGGAGAGTCACAGTGCCACACACTTCCGTACCTCTAAGCCTTTGCCTGAGCTGTGCCCTCCGCCCGACAGACATGCCTTCCCCCCACCTGTCTATCTGGAAAATCCCAGCTCACCCCTTAAGGCTTAGCTCGATGTCACCACCCCTCCAAGGAGCCTATCTTTGTCCCCAGGCAGAGCTGGGCACAGCCCCTCAGTGTGGTGTGTGGATCCCTCTCCCTGGGTCCTAGAACTCGTCACATCTTTGGGGCCTGATTCAATCCATGAGGCTCCTCGTGAGAGGGGGCAGAGGGTCGGAGTCAGAGGGATCGGACAGTGCGGAGCTGCTGTCCCTGAGGACGCAGGAGGGGCTGGGAGCAGGAGCACGCACGGGTCTGGGAGCTGGAGAAGGCGGGAGATGGGTTTGCCCCTGGAGCCTGCAGGAGCCGGCCCTGCTGACATCCCGACGCGAGCCCAGCGAGACTCTGAACGCCGGAACAATAAGATAATAGACGTGTGTTGTTTTAAGCCGCTGAGTTTGTGGTCGTTTTTTACAGGAGCAACAGGAAACTCACACACCAGGTGGGTGGCGTTGCTAATAAATACCATTGTCTGAGCCCGAACCACGTGCCAGCTGCTGGTGCTGTACGTTTTAATGTGCAATCTGCATGAGAACACTGAGGGAGAGGCATTGTCCCCATCTTGCCGACAGGGCACCGGGGGATTGGCGAGGCAATGACAGTTGCCCATGGTGACGCCATGGAGACAGGGCACGCAGGGACTGGGACTTGAAGCCAGCAACCTGACCCGTCTCTGTCTAGCGGTTTGTGTGGCGGCACCTCCTCTGCCCCGATGAGTAGATGGGACCCTCGGACCCCCTCACGTCCCTGACCACAGCTGTAATTGTCATGGGCTCGGAGGCTGGTGAGGACACCCCCCACCACGCTCCACGTTGAGGTCACACCAGTGCCGTGGAGCTGACCATTCCTGGGCAGGACACTTTGGTGGCGAGTGGCAGAAACCCTGACCCACCTGGACCACAGTGAGAACAGGCACCGTTTCACTCACAGAGCTGGGAAGTCCAGGGGTGGCCAAGGCCTCCCAGCGGTTCCAGAGCTCCTTCCCCAGAGACCCTGCCCTGGCAGCGGGAAGGCGGCCACCATGACGTTGGTCTCATGCCTTCCAGGTTCCGGCCACTGTCTTCTTCTGAGAGCCCCAGAGGACACAGCCACTGGCTCTGAATGTGTCCCATGGCAACACAATGTGATGTGCTGCTCGGGTTGGATGGGCTGAGCCCCAAGCCCACCCTAGGAGCCACGGGTGAGGCCAACGCCAGCCTGTGCCCAGAAGACAAGCAGAGCAGCATAAGCCAGAAAGAAGACAGGCCGATGTCGGGAGCTAGGAACGTGACAAATACCTGGTGCGCAGTGGGCATGGCCTCCACCCTGCAGGTGGGCACGGGGAGGCCTGGAGTCTGCCTGAGTCACTCAGCTGATATTTAGCAGGGCTGGGACTTGACTTGGGGATCCCCAAACAATGCTATTTCACTTTCTCTGCATGCAATTGGAAAATGAAATTTAAACACTGGTACCTTTTAAAATCATATCATAAAACATCAACTGTCTAGGAATAAACTCATGAAAGACATGCAAGACTTTTATAGAGAAAACTGCATGACATCACCGAGAGAACTTACTAATGAATAAGACCCAGATAAACGCAGGAACACGCCACGTCCACGGACCAGAAGACTCCAGGATAAAGATGTAAATTCTTCCCAGAATGACCCTATGGATCAAATGCAATCACAATCCAAATCCCAGCTGATGTTTTTGGAATCAAAAAGCTGACCCTAGAACTTACATGGAAATGCGAAGGAATAAGAACAGCCAGGAAAAATAAAAGAAGAACAAAGTTGGAATCTTCCACCTCAGGAGACCCTGACTCCTTGTGAGGTTAAAGGAACGGAGATTAGCACAGGAACAGAAATAGACCAACGTCACACAATTTGGCATTCAGAAACACACACACGTATACTCAGTCACCTGGTTTCTGACAAAGGTGCCACTGAATTATTACGGGGAAATGACAGTATTTTCAGCAAATGGTGCTGGGTCAGCGGAATGCTGAATGCTGATCCCTACCTCACACCAGACAACCAACCAACTCCAGGCCAAGCTTAGCTTTAAGCATGAAAGGCAAAATAACAAAGCTTCCAGAAGATTATATATAACAATATCTTTGTGGCCTTGGAATAGGCAATGATTTCTCAAACAGGACACAGAAATACCAGTTATAAAGGAAAACACTGATAAACCGAATGGCGTTAGAATTAACATCATCTGTTCACCAATAGATGCCATTAAGAGACTGACATTCAAACCACAGGTTCTGCCTCTGGTAATGGCCAAGGGGCCCTTCCAGACCAATCCTCATGCAGGTGATAGCTACAAAATGTAGACAAAGTATTAAAAACAACGGCCTGGGGGCACTGGGGAGGGGACAAAGGCAGGCTGTGTTGGGGGGGTCATGTGAGGACACTCAGGGAAGAGAGGAAGAGTGTCAGTCATGTCTCCTGTTTTCACAGACCGAGCAGAGCCCCCGTCTGCCACGTGCGGCGGCTAAACCTGCGCTGCAAAACCCGCCGTCTTGCGGTTGAGGAACCAGGAGACGGAGCTCAGGGCAGGGTGTGGAGCAAGAGGGACCCATGTGGGGAAAATTCATGTTCAAACCCAAGAAGCGTGTCCAGCTGACTCCCCTGAACACATGTGCGTGGGGCACAGTCTATGTGGCCCAGACTGGAATCCGGATTCAAGCTGTCCTCTGCAACAGGGGAGAGTTTTCAAGTTTAAGCGCTTGCTGCTTGGAGGCACACCACGGAATCTAGAATTCCTCGAACGAGCCGCTCACAATGTCCAGGAGGCAACCCGAAAGTTCCCGACAGGTGAGGAGCCAGGGAAGCGTGACGCTTTCTCAAGAGCGAAGCCAGCCCGCGGAGGCCGAGCGCGACGTGGCCGGCGGCTGGACTCAGCGGACAGGGATTCGCAAGCGGCCCTTTTCCGAGGCCGGAGAATGTGAGGGGATTCGTGCCTGCAATAAACACAAAGACGGGAGGCCTGGGCAGGAAAGAGAAACTACAGGAAGGAAAGAAATGGAAGCTCTAGAACCGAAACATAAATTATCCGAAATAAAAATTCTGCCGGAGGCGCTCTGTGGTGGAATGGACACGACAGAGGAAAACACCACGGAACCGGAGCAAAATCCGTAACAACGGTTTAACCTGAAAGCAGAGAGGACAAGATTGAAATTAGAACGAGCAAAGACCCGGAGATGCACAGACCAATCCAAAGGTCCACCATGAGTGGAATTGGGCTCTCAGAGGAGAGCAGGGGAGACGGCGCCGAAAAATACTACAGACAAACAGCAGTTGAAACCTCCCCCAACCTGGTGAAGATAAATTTAAGATGTGAGGAAGTCACTGGAGCCTGAGAAGCGGAACACAAAGAAACTACACGTAGGCGCGTCACCAACTTCTGAAAACCAAAGATAAAGGGAAAATCCTAAAAGCAACCAAAGATAAATGACACCAAAAATTCAGGGTAATAATGACCCAAATTACCACTAAATTCTCATTAAAAACAATGGAAGTTGGC